AGTTGAAGTTTGCCTTCAAAGTGAAATGGCAGCCACGATGGGGTAGTTTCTCAGTCATTCAGTATCTTAATGATGAACACCTCATCAAACAACTTGAAGTAGAATTTGGAATTGACCAGGTGAAATTTGTTAGTGTAAGGTGATGAAATTGAGGAAGACGAGAGAAAAAGAATAAATGCTAAAAGCTGCCACTAATGATTAAAGGAATTGGATTGTAATAAATGTAAACCTAGTACACCTATTTATACACAAATAAGAATGCCACATAGGCCTTAATGAAAATATTTACAAATGACAAATACTAAATTACCCTCTAATACCATCCCGTAATTTAGTAACTTATCAGAAGTTAACAACACCAATTTCATCTCTCAAACGAAGAAATTGGTCTGTTTTTATCGCCTTTGTCAGAACATCTGTCAGCTGCTTCTGAGTGCTACAATGCAGAACTCTAACACTCCTTTCTGCACTTGACTTCTGAGAAAGTGATACTTCGTCTCAATGTGCTTGCTTCTTCCATGTAGCACTGGATTCTTTGCAAGATTAATTGCAGACTTATTATCAATCATCAGCTTCAGAGGTTCCTCAACTTCAACCTTCAGATCATGCAGCAGATTCAGAAGCCAAACTGCTTGACATGCAGCTACAGCACCTGCAATGTATTCAGCTTCACATGTTGACAAAGCCACAACCGGCTGTTTCTTGGAACTCCAAGAAATTGGACCTCCCAGAAACTTGAACAAGTACCCAGAAGTACTTCTTCTGTCAACTCTATCTCCACACCAATCAGAATCAGAATAACTCAGAAGTTCTGATTTGATCTTTCCTCTAGAAGGAAATAACACTCCATATTTCAGAGTTCCTTTTATATACCTCAGAATCCTGACAGCAGCTTGGTAATGAGACCACTTTGATTTGCTCATGTATCTGCTGACCATTCCAGCTGCATAACAAATATCAGGTCTGGTATTACACGAATACCTCAGAAAACCAACCATCTATTTGAAGGTTGTAGCATCCACATCCTCTCCATCAGAATCAGAGTCCAACTTCTGATTCGTATCAGCAGGTGTGATAGCAACCTTGCAATTTACTAGCTCAAATCTCTTCAGAAGCTCCAGTTCATACTTCTTCTGATGTAAGATGATTCCTTTCTCAGAGTATATAAATTCCATTCCTAGAAAGAAACTCATTTTTCCAAGATCTGTCATCTCAAACGCATTCATCAGAACTTTCTTGAACTCAACTGTTTCTTGTTCAGAACTTCCTGTGAGTAATATGCCATCAACATACAAACAGACCAGAATCATATTACCTTCTGAAGTGTGCTGAACATAAACACCATACTCCATCTCACACTTCTGAAATCCTTGTTCCTTGAAAAACGAATCAATCTTCAAATTCCAAGCTCTGGGCGCTTGCTTCAGTCCATACAGAGCTTTGTTTAACCTGTATACCATCCCTTCCTGATTCTTTTTTACAAATCCAGGAGGTTGTGACACATAAACTTCTTCTTGTAATGGACCGTTCAGAAATGCAGACTTCACATCCAGATGTATCAAAGGCCAATTTCTGTTTGCAGCTAAAGCAATCACCAGTCTGATTGTTTCGTGTCTAGCTACAGGCGCAAACACCTCAAAGTAATCTAGTCCAGGTTTCTGAAGAAAACCTCTGGCCACTAGTCTCGCTTTGTGTTTTCCAATTGATCCATCTGGCTTTAGCTTCTGCTTGAAAACCCATCTGACGCTGATGGCTTTCTTGTCTTTTGGAAGTTCTGTCAGCTTCCAAGTCTTTTTTCTTTCAATAGCCTCAAGTTCTTCTTTCATGGAATTCAACCATACTTTCTTCTTGAGCGCTTCTTCAATACCCACTGGTTCAAAATCTACTAGCATGACACACTGAACGATTTCTCCTTCAGAATCTACTTCAGTATCATGCAACATGCTAAAATCTGCAAACCTACCTGGTATTCGTCTGATTCTGTGGCCTCTGATCTTGTTCTGAATTTTCTCCAGAACTAGGAACTGTGCTGGCTTCTGGACTTTGTCCAGAATTATTTCCTTCAGAATTACCACCTTCAGAGTTACTTCTGGAAACTTGTTCTCCAGACCCCATGTCTTCAGAGTTTTCCCTTCCAGAAGTATAATCACCACCAGATTTTGGATCATCATCAGAATCTGGATCAGAATCAGATCCACTATCAGAATCTCCCTGAGATTCTGACTCATCTTCAGAGTCTTCATCTTCTGACTCTGACTCGTCTTCAAAACGTTCAGAAACTAACCCTGGTGTTGGCACTACATCAGAATCTGATTGAAGCTTGTTCCAATCCCATGTTTCTGACTCTTTCACAATGACGTCTCTGCTGATTTTAACTTTGTTAGTTTCTGGACAATAAAGCTTATAGGCACCTGTACTGTGGTACCCCACTAGTAACATTGTTTTGCTTCTATCATCCAGTTTCCGTCTTCTAGCATCTGGAACGTGTTTGTAGCATACAGAGCCAAACACCTTCAGATGGATAACACTTTGCTTGTCTCCAGTCCATTTTTCTAAAGGAACAGTTTCCTTCAGCTTCTTTGTTGGACACCTATTCAGAATATATGCTGATGTGGCAACAACTTCTCCCCATAACATGTGAGGTAACTTCTTCTCTTTCAGCATACTTCTGGTCATATCAAGCAAAGTTCTGTTTCTTCTTTCAACAAGACCGTTGTGCTGAGGAGTATATGGAGCAGTAACCTCATGTTCTATTCCATTCTCCTCACAGAACTTCTGGAACTCTGTAGAGTTATACTCACCTCCACCATTTGTTCTCAGAATCTTCAGCTTCTGACCACTCTGCTTCTCAGCCTTCACCTTGAACTTCTGGAACTCAGTAAACACTTCATGCTTGAACTTGATGAGTGTTACCCATGTCATTCTTGTGAACTCATCCACAAAAGACACAATATTTGTTTCCTCCAAGTGAAGGTACTGGAAATGGTCCACACACATCAGAATGTACTACTCCCAGAGCATGCTTTGCTCTGGGGGCTACTTCTGATGCAAATGGCAATCTGGGTTGCTTGCCTTTCATGCATATCTCACATGACTTCTGAGGCTTCACAATCTTTGAAATCCCATGTACGAGCTTCTTAGAACTTAGATGCCCTAAGCTTCTATAGTTCAAGTGCCCCAACCTCTTGTGCCATAGTTTACTGTCAGCTTCAGCACCTTCTGCACTAAGACACTCCGCTTCAGAAGTTTCTACATTCACCTTGAATGTTTTGTTGCTTCCCTGCTCAGACTTCATAATCAACTTCTGATTAGAATCATACAACGTCAAAAGATTGTCCTTCATAACCACTGAGAAACCTTTCTCAATAAGCTGACCCACACTCATCAGATTACTTTTAATTCCAGGAACATACCAAACATCTTTGATCAGAATGTTTCTTCCATTCTTCACTCTGACTCTAACATTTCCCATACCTTCTGCATTAAGGTACTTATCATCAGCACATCTGATCTTTGTTCTCCTTCTGGAGTCAAAGTCTATCAGCCATTGTTTGTTCCCAGTCAAGTGGTTTGAACAACCAGTGTCCATATACCACCAATTTCCTGAACAATTTCCATCAGAATCAGAAGCCATCAGTAGCACAGGTTCATCATCAGAATCTTCTCTGGCTATATTTGCTTCTTCTGATTTCCTTCCTTTGTTTCTACAGTCTCTGGAAAAATGACCAAACTATTTACAGCAGTAACATTGAACCTTCTTCTTGTCATACCTTTCCTTTCCCTTCTGATATTTCTTTTCATCAGAAGTTGAGGTTTCTGACTTCTGGAATTTATCACCATGTCTATTCTGCTTCTGGTCCTTCTTGACAAAAGAGGCTTTCAGAGCTTGCTCCACTTCCCTCTCAGAAGTTCTTTCAGTCAGACGCAACTCTTGCACTTTTAGACTGCTTTGCAACTCTTCTATTCTTATGGTTTCCAGATTTTTAGAATGTTCAATAGAAACAACAATGTAATCAAACTGAGGAGTAAGTGACCTCAGAATCTTTTCTATGATTACCTGTTCAGAAAGTGTTTCTCCACAAGCCTTCATTTCATTAGTGATCAGAATCATTCTGGAGATGTACTCAGAAACTTTCTCATTATTCTTCATGCTGAGATTTTCATATTGTTTTCGCAGGGAATGAAGCTTTACCTTCTTTACTGATACATCACCACCATAACATCTGGTCAGTATATCCCATGCCCCTTTCGACGTCGTCGAATCAACAATCTTCTCAAACACATTTTCATTCACACACTAATGGATAAATAATAGAGCTTTCTGATCCCTCTTCTTCACAGCTCTTTCTTCTGTTTTTTGTTCTTCAGTAGCATCTGCTGCAACTGGAACACAACCTTCAGAAACAAGATCCAGAACATCCTGAGCACCAAACAGCACAAGCATTTGTATCTTCCATCTGTTCCAATTTTTGCCATCAAAAATTGGAAGTTTAGTGTTCAAATTACTGCCTTCATTCATCTTAAACCTTGCACAAAAACTCAGATATCAGATTTCTCACTCAGTGTTTCCCAAACCCACAGAATCAGTGTGATTCTGTTTCAGATTTTTGTTCAAGATTCAAAAATCAAACACACAGCTCACTATCACTCGTGTTTCCCAGAGTTTCAGAACAAACCAAGAGCTCTAGATACCAATTTGTTAGTGCAAGGTGATGAAATTGAGGAAGAAGAGAGAAAAAGAATAAATGCTAAAAGCTGCCACTAATGATTGAAGGAATTGGATTGTAATAAATGTAAACCTAGTACACCTATTTATACACAAATAAGAATGCCACATAGACCCTAATGAAAATATTTACAAATGACAAATACTAAATTACCCTCTAATAAAATTCATATGAGGAAATGTATTTTTACAAACTCAAAGCAATTTTATCGATTTGATCCATTACATTTATATCACTCCCTTTCACTGCTACTATACATTACGTATCCTAATTATGGGCAACAACCAGCAAACCCGTTTGCGAACACGCATGTTCTCTGCACCTACTATACCGATTAATTGTTCACCACTCCACAGAGATATCCCAACAAGAACATTGGTCCCTCCCACATCATCCCACCAGACACACTTTACTACTTCGAACTCATATTATACACCTCCGTTCCTTCCTTGTAGCGGTGCCTCCACTAGCAACTGTTCACGCCACATGCGTCGTACCTCAAATGTTCCACATCCTTCGTCTGATTATCTATCATCAGATGTTACACGGCGCATGTCACACAGAATTAGTTCAAGTGATGAAAACTCAGATTCAGAATTTGACACAATAGTGGGCAACTCTTCCCAATATGATGATGAACAAATTGACATACTAATTATGATTCTCGCCAAAAAGGTATGTGGCTGCTTACCATTACATTGTTACCCCAATAATATTGATCACATGACTAAACTATATTCTCAATGCAGAATATTCCGATATAGGTAACCCGTTGTGTGAGTGCCATCATTTGCAAGGCTTGTATGTGATATCAGGAGCGTAAAAACAAACATCGACATATGCCTGATCCTAAATTTCACATTTGTTGCAAAGGTGGAAAGGTTGTGCTGCCACTTATGAGGCAGCCTCCTCCACTGTTGCATCGACTACTCTTTGAGAGAACATCCGCACATTGTGAGAACTTTCAGAACAACATCAGATCTTACAAAGCCATTTTCTCCTTCACTTTCCCTGACATGAAGTTTGACACAACTTACTCGCACGACAACGGTCTTCCTACCTCAATTTTTTTTTAAATAACTCAACTAATTTTGTATGGTCCACGTTTTGTGGTGTAAGATCTACGTCACAAAAGATGATGCCTTCGCGTTTCAGAAATCTATTGTGGAATTTCGGTAATTCCTCAAACGCATTAAGCTCTTTAATGCTTGAGATAGAGAAATTGTCGTTTCCGTAATAAGCGAACGCAACCACCATGTCAGGAGGTAAGTTATAGTAACTTTCCAGGACCTTCCATCCACTAACTATAACAGGATGATCCAGATTTTTGTTGAAAACTATCGTATGATGGACACCTTCATTGTTCATTATTGTCCATGTCTTTGTGAGATCTGCCATGTTTGTTTTTACAAACACCTGATCTATCTCTGCAAATGACTACAACCGAATAAAGCATATAAACTGGGTAGACTGTATAGATTTGAACACCTAAATTCAATTGTTAACTATAAAACTGCAACTATTACAATAAAAATACACTCTTACTTGGAAACATAACTTCGCTACCAAAAAGATGTCAAATACCGGCGAGTGAAAGGAATTCTCTTCTATCCATGGCTGTTGGGCTGTTGTTGTGGCAACCTACTGCTCATGACCCATGGAAATTATACAAAAGAATGGATTACATAACTGCCTTTTATTATGAGGCAATTTTTGTCCACATCCAACATGTATCACGTGCAAACAGTAACCAACAACAATAATTAACTTCAACCATCATTACACATGTGAATTCATCAAATGAATAGTTTGTTTACATGTTACAAAATAATGACATCATTCCCACGTCCAACAGTTTGGACTGATCTGCATGTAAAAATATCTACAACAAAAACTTCCAATTATACACTTATTTCAAAGGCAGACATGGTTCCTACATGTTCAGTTTGTCATTTTCCCGTGAACGCCCACCCCATAGCATTATAAAATGTACATATCAGCGGGAAATATCCTTACCACAAACGCCTACATCTTTCACAACAACCTTACATACGGAAAAATTGTTTATCTCGCAGGTCTTTCAAAACAATTGACACATTACACACTTGAAAGACTTTTCATTTGTGGAAGCACCTTAAATATTGATACATTCAGAACAATTGCATATAACACTTCTTTAACATTATAACTTCAACGTTCATGAGACCTTAATTACAACCACATAACTGGAATTAAATAACATTGCCTTATGCCTTAATACTTTGTCCAAAAGGTCGTCAAACTAAACATTACAAAATTGGTAGAAACCAAGACAAAATATACACCATCCATACTACAACAGTTAATGGTTCTACCACACTGATATACCAAAATGAAAAACCATAGTTATATTGAAACTTCTTCAAGGCCAACATCAGCAACAGAAAACTCTCATTCCTGAACCTAAACATGTCCCACTCCTGCGAGTGCGTTCCCAAATAGCATTAAGCTCTGTAACACATGGCAAGGCACGTGAGGAGCAAATACAATTAAGTGACGAGGCATTAGTGGGTGAGGAGAAGCATAATGAATTCCCTAAAAATCAGGAGCTTGGACGTGGCAAGAGAGAGAAAAGGGCTAGTGTGAAGCTAACAGAATTAGTCAGTGGATAGTTTATATATTGTTGTTAGTGGAATTAGGGAAAGGGAAGGAATGATGTGTGAACCTTCTTCCCTCTGAATTTTCTCTCTGCTCTGATTTCTTTTTACTGCACTGTACGTGCTTGTTGATTTTCCTCACTGAAATCCATCTTTTCCATCAATAATATTCTATTTTCTCTAAGCTATTTCTGTTCCATTAATTCCATTCATTACATTGGTGCTTTCATTACATCATGGCAGACAACACTCGTATGAAAGAGATTTATGCTGAGTTAAAAAAAAACGCTGACGCCATCGACTTGGTTAGTACATCAATGACCTCGCAGATTGAGCGATTAGAAGTTGCTGGTCACGCTCAGATGACGAGAATGGAAGAGTTCCAGCAAGCGAATGCAGCACAGTTCTCTCAGCTCAACACCACATTGGCTCACTTGCTGCAACGGTTACAAACGTCTCCCCATGGTGTTGCGAACTCATCAGTTAAGGAGCCACAGAGGAATGCGTTTCAGGTGAGATCTGTCAAACTCGACTTTCCTCGATTTGATGGAAAAAATGTGATGGACTGGATCTTCAATGCTGAACAGTTTTTTGACTATTATGCTACACCAGATGCCGATAGATTGATTATTGCTTCAGTTCACTTAGATCATGAGGTTGTTCCGTGGTACCAAATGCTTCAGAAAACTGCACCGTTCCATTCATGGAAAGCTTTCACTAGAGCTTTAGAATTAGATTTTGGACCATCGACTTATGATTGCCCTCGTGCTACCCTTTTTAAATTGAATCAATCTGCAACTGTTAATGAGTATTACATGCAGTTCACTGCCTTAGCGAATAGGGTAGATGGTTTAAGTGCTGAAGCCATTTTGGATTGTTTCATTAGTGGCCTTAACAATGAGATTAGTCGGGATGTGAAGGCAATGGAACCTAGAACCCTTACTAAAGCAGTAGCTTGAGCCAAACTGTTTGAAGAAAAATACTTCCCAAATACCACACCAAAAATCACTGCTGGACCTAGAAATGTTACCCAAAATTCCACCATACCAACCAAACCTACTGCCAATTACCCAAAATCTGACCAGAATGGCAAACCACCTTTACCACCATTATTACCCACACCAAATACGAAACCCTTTAACACCAGGAACCAACATATTAAAAAAATTTCACCTGCTGAAATTCAACTGAGAAGAGAAAAGAACCTATGTTATTTTTGTGACGAGAAATTCTCACCCTCACACAAATGCCCCAACAGACAAGTGATGTTGTTACAACTTGATGGGGAAGAGGAGACCAATCTACAGGACAAGCCAGATTCAGTGGAGGAGCATGCTGACACAGGTCGGGATTCACATCATTTATCCTTAAATGCCATGAGAGGATCAAATGGTGTTGGCACCATTAGATTTACTGGACAAATTGGCAGCATCAGGGTCAAAATACTAGTAGATGGTGGCAGTTCAGATAATTTCATTCAACCAAGAGTGGCCCAGGTATTGAAATTGTCGGTGGAACCTGCACCCAACCTTAGGGTGTTAGTTGGGAATGGTCAGATCTTGAAGGCAGAAGGCCTCATTCAACAATTACCCTTACAAATTCAAGGACAACAGGTTACAGTGCCTGTGTATTTGTTACACATCTCGGGTGTCGATGTGATATTGGGATCCAACTGGCTAGCAACACTCGGTCCTCATGTTGCTGACTATGCCGCGTTGACATTAAAATTCTTTCACAGTGGTCGGTTCATTACTCTACAGGGGGAACATGGCTCACAACCCATACCTGCACAACTCCATCATTTCCGAAGATTACAAAACACTAATGCTATTGAGGAATGTTTTGCAATTAAATTGATTGAAAAAACGGTACCAGCAGACACATTGTTGGCATGGCCAATCAACATAAACACTGAAATAGTTGTCTTACTGCACACTTATGCCAAGGTGTTCGAAGTACCAAAGAACTTACCACCTCAGAGGGAACAAGATCATTCTATTCCATTGAAACAAGGTTCAGACCCAGTGAAGACACGGCCTTACAGATACCCACACACACAGAAAGAACAGATAGAGAGGATGGTCCACGAAATGCTCCAGCAGGGCATCATACAACCAAGTACCAGTCCGTTTTCTTCTCCTATTGTTCTTGTCAAGAAGAAGGATGGAAGCTGGCGGTTCTGCACGGACTATAGAGCATTGAATGCAATCACGGTCAAAGACAAATTTCCTATGCCCACAGTCGATGAACTGCTCGATGAATTGCATGGCGCTATATATTTCTCGAAATTGGATCTCCGGTCAGGTTACCACCAAATTCTTGTTCAACCTGCTGATAGGTACAAGACTGCTTTTAGAACACATCATGGACATTATGAATGGCTAGTAATGCCATTCGGCCTTACGAATGCACCCGCCACATTTCAATGTTTGATGAACAAGATTTTTCAAGATGCTCTGCGGAAATTTGTTCTGGTATTTTTTGACGATATCTTGGTATATAGTCCCTCTTGGCTGGCTCATTTAGGGCATTTGAAAGCAGTCTTACAAATATTACAACGACATCAGCTGTATGCTAGATTATCTAAGTGCTCATTCGGAGCCACCGAAGTCGAGTACTTAGGCCATCAGGTTTCTGGCAGTGGCGTGGCTATGGAGCTGACTAAAGTGCAAGCAGTGATGGAGTGGCCTACACCAACTACTATCAAGCAGTTGAGAGGATTTCTAGGCCTCACAGGATATTATCGACGATTTATAAAATCGTATGCTAATATTGCTGGGCCCTTAACTGACCTTTTGAAGAAAGATAATTTTTCCTGGAGTCAGTATGCTGAAGCAGCTTTTGTGAAGCTTAAGAAAGCAATGACTGAAGCTCCTGTGTTAGCATTACCGGATTTTTCGCAACCATTCATTCTTGAGACGGATGCATCCGGTATTGGGGTGGGAGCGGTGCTGGGTCAGAATGGACACCCTATTGCTTATTTTTCAAAGAAGTTAGTTCCTAGAATGCAAAAGCAGTCTGCTTATATTCGAGAACTGCTCGCCATTACTGAAGCATTAGCCAAATTTCGACATTATTTGTTGGGGAATAAATTCATTATCATAACTGATCAGAGAAGCTTGAAGAGTCTATTGGATCAATCTCTCCAAACACCAGAACAGCAGGCTTGGTTACATAAATTCCTTGGCTACGATTTCAAAATTGAATACAAACTAGGCAAAGATAATCAAGCGGCAGATGCTCTTTCAAGAATGTTCATGTTAGCTTGGTCAGAACCACACTCCTTGTTCTTGGACGAATTGAGATCTAAATTGCAAGGGGATGTTCACTTGAAGCAATTGATGGAGGAACGCCAAAACTCGTCTGAAGCACATCAATATACAATGAGAGATGGGTTATTATACTGGAAAGATAGGTTGGTGATACCTAGTGATGATGGGACGATTCAAATGATACTACAGGAATTTCATAGCTCCCTCATTGGTGGTCATGCAGGGATCACTCGCACATTGGCAAGGGTGAAAGCTCAATTTTACTGGCCAAAAATGCAGGAACATGTCAAAGCATTTGTGCACAAATGCTTAATTTGTCAACAAGCGAAAGCGAGTAACACTTTACCAGTAGGGTTGCTTCAACCGTTACCAATACCGCACCAGGTTTGGGAAGATGTCGCCATGGACTTCATTACGGGCTTGCCAACTTCATTTGGGTTATCTGTGATTATGGTGGTGATAGATAGACTCACAAAATACGCTCATTTTGTGCCATTAAAAGCTGATTATAATAGCAAGACTGTCGCTGAAGCATTCATGAACAACATAGTTAAGTTGCATGGAGTTCCAAGGTCCATAGTATCTGACAGGGACAAGGTATTTACTAGTTCCTTTTGGCAACAATTGTTTAAGTTACAAGGCACTACCTTAGCTATGTCTTCAGCATATCACCCACAATCGGATGGCCAGTCAGAAATATTGAACAAATGTTTAGAAATGTATCTCCGATGCTTCACTTACGAGAATCCAAAAAGTTGGGTCAAAGCTCTTCCTTGGTCAGAGTTTTGGTACAATACTTCTTACCACATGAGCTTAGGCATGACTCCCTTTAAAGCTTTATATGGTAGAGAACCACCTGCAATTGTCAGACTACCATGCTCCAACGAGGACCCAACAGAGGTTAGGGAACAGTTAGCTAACAGAGACGTATTATTAGCTAAGCTGAAAAGCAACCTGCTACGAGCTCAACAAGTAATGAAGACTCAAGCTGACAAGAAGCGAAGCAACGTGAATCTAAATGTTGGTGACGAAGTGTTGGTTAGGCTGCAACCGTATAGACAACATTCAGCTGCCTTACGAAAGAATCAAAAGTTATCTATGAGATACTTTGGACCATTTAAAGTTTTGGCCAAAATTGGCAATGTTGCTTACAAATTGGAGCTTCCCCCAGCTGCACGAATTCACCCGGTGTTTCATATATCTCAGTTGAAACTTTTTAAGGGAGATACTCACGAACCGTATATGCCGTTGCCGCTCACAGTTACAGAATTGGGACCAATGATGCAACCCATCCAGGTCATAGCAACTCGAACTGTCATTAGAGGGACTCAACAGGTGGGACAGATTCTTGTTCAATGGGAAAATGGCTTGCAAGAGGATGCTACGTGGGAAGATCTTGACGATATCAAGGCTGGTTATCCTGACTTCAACCTTGTGGGCAAGGTTGATTTTAAAGGGGAAGGTAATGTAACACATGGCAAGGCACGTGAGGAGCAAATACAATTAAGTGACGAGGCATTAGTGGGTGAGGAGAAGCATAATGAATTCCCTAAAAATCAGGAGCTTGGACGTGGCAAGAGAGAGAAAAGGTCTAGTGTGAAGCTAACAGAATTAGTCAGTGGATAGTTTATATATTGTTGTTAGTGGAATTAGGGAAAGGGAAGGAATGATGTGTGAACCTTCTTCCCTCTGAATTTTCTCTCTGCTCTGATTTCTTTTTACTGCACTGTACGTGCTTTTTGATTTTCCTCACTGAAATCCATCTTTTCCATCAATAATATTCTATTTTCTCTGAGCTATTTCTGTTCCATTAATTCCATTCATTACAAGCTCCTGCTCGGTTGGGATCCAATTGCGACGCAGAAACAAAAATAACATCAGTAATAGTAACCATCTTTGCATGCAGCTTCAGAAATATAACCAAAACCATGTAAAAATATATGTATCCATTAGCTACTGCTACAAGCATATATGAAGTGTAGGTAAATCGAAGGTCTGGAATACAAAATCTGGTAGACATAAACAAAAACCCTAAACATGTATATTGCATGCACGGTGAGACATTTTCGTAATGTTAGGTTTCCCTTCTTTGAGAACCTGTTACAGATTTTTGGAAGAAACACACTTACCGTGATACACCTTCCATTGATGTTGGTGGATGAAGCGAAGCCGAACCCTTTGAATCATACTGTCCCCTTTCTTAGCCAACTCTGATGGCACTTGAAGTGTGTCTTTTAGAGTCCCACTAAGTTTTTGTTACTTCTACTTGACTCTACGGTTCCTATTATGCAACTCAATTACCACACGCTTACATTTTAGCCTTAAAATACATTGCTTATTTAATACGTTTTTTGGTTTAACTTTTAATTTTTTTTAAAACCCTTATTCACTAACTTTTACAATTCCAACTATCTTCAAAGTAGAGAAGTTTTGACATCAATAATAGAAGTAGTCAATGGCATCAATGCTTACATCACAAACCTTCTTTCAGGTACTTGATTTAGAATTTCATTTTTGTGACCACATTTTATAATTATTACCATCTATTTATATAGTTTTTACAATTCAATTATATTTCTATGAAGGAGAAGAAAAGGAATACTTCAGTAGGGATTTTATTGATATATCTAAATCTATTGATTTTGATGCATATGAGCACCTGACTCCAAAATTACTGAATTGTCTTA